CGACTGGACTCAAAATACGCTTCAGCCCGGTTTCAGGTACAAACCAATATTTATCATGGGCCAAAATAACATGTGCCAAAAAATCACAGATACTTAGAACAGGTACGAGCTTGGAACAGTCACACATGGAACCTGTGACTGAAAAATACTGGTTTGTGCCATCCCTAGTGCGAAAAAAGTCATTCGCCTACCAGTTCATTACGGCGCTGCCTGCGTTGCTCCTCCTGAAACTGCTCCTCACGCATCCGCATGAGTTGCTGCTCCAGCCGTCGGTTCTCCAGGTCGCGTTCGCGTCGCTCTTGCTCCTCACGCATGGCCGCCAGGTGGCGCTTCTCCTCTATCTGCAACCGCAAGTCGTGCTGGTACGCCTCACGTTTTAACCGCTCCTACAAAAACGATTTTTATCCCAAACCCAAACAACATCAGTTCTTCGAAGAGCCTGATATTTGAAACGGTTCGCTTACCCGTTCGAGATCGTCGCTGCGGTCGGAGTAGCTGAATCCGTCAAGATAGGTGGCGGGAGTATAGGACGAACTGAGCCCCCCTTCTGACGGATACCGATCTGTCAAGAAAATTTGGTGTTTCAGTAAAGATTGACGTTTAATGGGCGTTTTGAGTTACCCCGTGGACTGCCTGTCCGCCTATTGGACAGGATGCTTTTCGGTTTATCCATGCTGACCGAGCTGGACGCTCTCAGCACGATTTCATTCTGCGCGCTGGTGAGTCGCTGATCGACGCAGTGCGGATAAGCGGACCGTCTGCGCAGCGCCAAATCGACCAGATCGTCGGTTGCGGTGCGTCTCGAGCTTACAGCGCCCTCGTGCCCCGTCTGGTACTGGCCTGCACTCTCATGCCGCACCTACATAACCAGAGATGGCGTTACACACAACATCTGTCGTCGGTGCTTTACATAAACTCCCCAACTGCCCCAATCACCACGTTACTATGATTATTTATTATGTGCATGTAGTAGAAAAAAGAAGCTTTTTACAGCGGAAAAGCCTTCGTTGACCATTTACTTACTACTAGTTCGCAATTAATGTTCGCAATATCAGTTTGAACTGACTTGGATTCGACAGATAACTCAGTGTTTGTGCTGCGGTCGCTCTTGGGCGACTCCAAGTCCACCCGATCAGTTGGTACCTCTTTAATGCCGCCCCTCTGAAATCAGGCGAATGGCGCCCACACTAGAGGCGGCGCAATTATGCAAAAAAACGGGCGCACAGTACCTTGGCGCCGTGTCTCAAATAGCTCCTGGGCCGATCGGTCGCAAGGCCCCGTCGGATCTCATACTCGCCCAGGCCTTCGTGGGGCGCCGCCCTCAGATGAACGTAACTTGGGGGCGCGTACTCGCCGCGACGGAACGATGGCAGCCCGAAGGGGGCCCCGCTCCCCAAGACGCCGCACCCCGTCGCCTCATCCTGTAACAAGCAAAACAGTAGGCAACGTCAGATTAAAGAGATGCATTTGTTTACGTTTTTCTATGGGAGCAACATTGGTTCACAGTCTATACAAAAGTAGGTACTTACGAGGCTGCTTTGCCGGCTCGGTATTCAATTTGATATACAGGGTTATTCACGCTATACGGCACGGACGTTTGCTGCTAGCTCGTTTGTTTTTTGCAAAGTATTATTTGATAAATCCACAGACGCCTATCGGGTGCACATTTTAAAAATATTTTTACAATGTACAGAGTGTCCCAAAAGCCCTAAAAGTATCAAAGTTGTGTTTTTCTAAATGAAATACCCTATATATTATTGCATTTTTGGATTCTCTGA